ACTATGACAGCCTAGTGACAGCATAAATGACATATATATATATATATATATGTATATATATATATATATATATATATATATATATATATATAATATATATATAAAAGGCTTTTCATGGGTCATTAAAAAACATTAAAAGTTATATTATTTTTTAAATAAACGGCCTTAAAATTTATTATATGTGATTATCATGGCATTAAAAATGCTTTAAAATTATAAAAACCATATCGTCCAATATATCAAAAATAACTGGTTCCGCGTGTTTGCGTGGAAATGTCTGTCAACGTTAAAGATGAAGGATTTTGTTGTGTTTTTTAATATATACATGTATAAATAAATCTATCAATCGATCGATCGATAGATAGATAGATGACCTGGAAGCTGTTGAAAGAAATATCACATTTTAATGTTACAAAAAAATCTTTACAAATGAACAAAGGCTTAAAATGGAATAAAAATGAGTGTGTCCCATCTGGCCAAAGTAGTAGAACTATTTGACACCGATTTGGAGTTAGTGGTTACATGACCTGAGGCTAATTGAAGAAAAAAAAAAGAGCCCCATGTTTAGAGGGACCATCAAAACAGAATTGGTTTTACAGGTGGAGGCCACTGACATTTTTCCCCTCCTCATCTTTTCTTACTCATGGCAGATGGTCCTGTACACTATGACAGCATAGTGACAGCATATATATATATATATATATATATATATATATATATATATATATATATATATATATATATATATATATATATATATATATATATATATATATATATATATATATATATTAGGGATGGGACGATTTATGAAAACCGTCAGAACCGTTCGGTTCAACTGTCTCGGTTCGGTTCGCGTGTGTTTCGTTCGGTTCATGCGCTGCTCCTTTTTCTCATAGGCGAAGCGTTTACACTCCAGAGCAGAAGGTGGCGGTACTGCGACCAAAGCCGCAGGGAAAAAAATCAGTTGTTGTGGAGAATTGTGTGGGTATGGCGAGTGGGAAAGAACAGGAGTTGGAAGATGCGCCAGCAGCACTTTATAGGTCTGCTGTATGGGACCGCTTTGCATTTAGAGTGACCTACGATGACGGCGGAAAGAAAGCTGGGGATAAAAGTGCAACATTGTGCAACAAGTTTTGTTTATGCTAACAGCAACACGACCAACATGTCAGGCTAACCCCGAAATCCCTCATACTCCGTCAGCGCTCCGCCCCGCTGCGCTCCAGACCGGCTGCTCAAAGCAAAGCCTACAGCCTCCACTGAGGCTCCCGTCCGCTCCGCTCTGAGTTCCTTGGAGATGGTAGAGGGCATGCGCCAGATGATTAAATTCAAAGCAGCAAAACATACAGAAATGATCCAGGATTTCCGCGGATCATTTAAAATAATTACGATCCATTATTTTTTGGGGGATTTTTTTCATTAATTCCATAAATTTTTATGGGATTTCGGTGTAACAATCAACATGTATCGAACCGAACCGAAAACCGTGACCAGAAACCGTGAATTGAACCGAACCGTGGATTTTGTGAATCGTTCCACCAGTAATATATATATATCAGGGTTTTCATGGGTCATTAAAAAACATTAAAAGTGATATTATTTTTTAAATAAAGGGCCTTAATTGGCCCTAAAATACATTACATGTGTTTATCGTGGCATTAAAAATGCTTTACTTAAAGCTACAGTGTGTAATAATTACATGGATATACAGTCAGAAATGTAATATATTATACATAACTATGTTATTTATCATCATCTACGAGCTCAGCCTCTTAACCTTAATGTTTGCGTTGCCTTAGAATTCGTTATTTATAATTACATAGGAGCGGGTCTCGCAGCCATCGAGGCAGACATCTTTGCGCTACGGCAGCGCAGAGCCAACAAACTAGTGATTGCGAGATCGCCAAAATGTCACAACGATGTAGAAAAAATAACGGGTATATTTTTTATCTTAAGTCTACATGAAATCTATACCCTACACAGACTAATGAAATACTATCTGTAAAATTATCTATGTAAACAAACCTCATCACTTGAGAAGGTAGGTGATGCGGACGTCGTGGAAGACATTTTGTCCCGTAACGCCCGCCGTACTGTTGGGGGGGAGAAGCGGTGGGGGGGGAGATGTTCATGTTGCTGCAGTCTGCAGTCTGGACGTTAGATGTCACTAAAAGTTACTGTAGCTTTAAAAAAACAAAATTATAAAAACCATATCGTCCAATACATAAAAAATAACTGGTTCCGCGTGTTTGCTCGGAAATGACTGTCAACGTTAAAGACGAAGGATTTTGTTGTGTTTTTTAATATATACATGTATAAATAAATCTAGCTGTCTATATATATATATATATATATATATATGCATACATGTATATGGTTACCTGGAAGCTGTTGAACAAATATCATATTTTTATATTAAATAAAATCTTTAAAAATGAACAAAGGCTTAAAATGTGCCATACCTGACCTTATAATTCATTATATGTGATTATCGTGGCATTCAAAATGCTTAATTTAAAAAAAAAAATTCTAAAATTGTCCAATATATCAAAAATAACTGGTGACGCATGTGTGCGCGGAACTGCATCGAGGCAGAGAAAGAGCTAGAGAATGGGAAAAATGTCTGTCAACGTAAAACATATCCAAGGATTTTGTGTATCTCATATATAGGGAGTGGGGAACACTCATTTTTATTCCATTTTTAGCCTTTGTTCATTTGTGAAGATTTTTTTGTAATATTAAAATTTGATATTTCTTCCAACAGCTTCCAGGTCATATGTTATATATATATATATATATATATATATATATATATATATATATATATATATATATATATATATATATATATATATATATATATATGAATATATATATATATATATATATATATATATATATATATATATATATATATATATATATATATATATATATATATATATATATATGAATATACTGAATTAAATTCTTTGTGAAATTGTTTTACTATTAGCCTGATGAGGCACACTCAATTTTATTCCTTTTTAAGCCTTTGTATATTTTTAAACATTTTTTAATTACAAAAATAATTGATATTTCTTCAATAGCTTCCAGGTCATGTGAACCACTAACTCCAATTTCTATTTCCAGATCTACTACTTTGGCCAGATGTGTGTGTATATATATATATATATATATATACTTTGGCCAGATGTATATATATATAGCTTATATATATAAGCTATTGAAGAAATATCAATTCTTTTTGTTATTAAAAAATTAAAAAATGTTTAAAAATGTTTAAAAATATACAAAGGCTTAAAAATGAATAATATACAAAGGCTTAAAAAGGAATAAAATTGAGTGTGCCTCATCAGGCTAATAGTAAAACAATTTCACAAAGAATTTAATTCAGTAGGTCACATGACCTTGAAGCTATTGAAGTAAAGTTCCAACTTTTGTCTTTAAAAATAGCTTAAAAATTGAAAATAGCTTAAAATTGCATAAAAGCAAGTGTGCATAATGGCATGGTTTTATATTAGTTTTGTCTGACTTGGTCATAAGATAAGGAATTTATTGATTTTTGTTTATCAGGAGTACTTGGTTCAAAGATTTGTCGGAGTCCCTCATTCAGATCAACTGATGGCTAGATCCCGCTGACTCTGCGGAGCTTAAATATCCAACTTCAAACAAACGTCACTGTGGTTAAAAAATGGACAAAACTCAAAAGTATTTGTGAGGTAATGCAAAACAAAAAAAGAGCCCCATGTTCCCCAGAGGGCCTCATACTTTTCTATTACACAAAAAAACAAGAAATAAAAGTTGTTAGCATTTGCCTCAGTATTTTATCTTGTTGGATAAATATGCCAGGCCTTCTCCTCTAAATTTCCTTTATTGCCCTCTACATCATCTCAATCAATTTTGATAAGAACCACAGAAGGTAAAGAAACTCTTCAGTTCTGCTGTAATAAACTATGGATATGGATAAACTGTTAGATAAAGAAAAACGGTATCTGAATTTCTAACTATCCTAAATCTTACTAAATGATAATTTTTGCTGTATATAATGTCAAAGTAATGTTCAAGTTGTCTCAACACAATTAATTTCATTAGTGTACCTTAAATCCGTATGATATAGTATTCATGGGTCTGCTGTTTTCCCTCCATTCAGAGGTTCATTCAAATTTGTCAGTGATCAAGAGCTGAAGAATTTTCCCTCGATAATCACATTTATCAAAACACAAATTAAATCAACTTACTTTCTTGGTAATCAGACAATTTTTTTTTTTTTTGGTTTTCTTATCACAGAAGCACAACAGGTACCACTATGCAGGACATAATACCACCATGAACAAAAGAGTAAAGGAATGCTAATGCCAGAGGAGAACCTAATCCAGAAACACCACAGCATTTTACTTCCAACCTTAAAACAATACTCTACTATAGCCTGCAAACTTGGGGAAAAAAAAAAAAAAAAAAGTCAAAAGCTATTTGGATTATTTCTTTTGTTTCATCAAGTAGGCTACCATTTGTCACTCACTAGCACTTCGATTTTATACTGAATCACTTTCATACACATGCATTGGCTTTCGCCAATTTAAATGCACATCTAGAATTAAGTGTTTCACTACTCGGCTACAAAGTACCAATTATTGGGGCTAATTAGTCAATATAAAGGGTATTACTGTGACAAAAAAAGCTGGTCCCATTGAGAAGTATTTCAGTCTAGGGAGAATTATTTAGAAAACTTAACAATTTAGCCAATCCCAACAACACTGGAGTACCCATGTAGAAACTTGATGACCTTTTTGTACATTCAAGAAATTAAAGTCTATTGTAAATATAGTCAACTAGCTATGAAAATGGCAAAAGGATAAAAAAAAAAGTATCTTTTTAAGACCAGATTAATATAACATACATATTTATATGCTTGAAACAAAAACACAATGCTAACTTTTCCCTTGATCAGAAATTTATGGTGAACTTTAATAGGAAAGCTACAGCTTCGGATTCAACACAAAACAGCTATGGATGTAAATAAAGCTGAAACTTTAAGATAATGGGGAGCATGTAAACTAGCAGGTGGTGAAGAAGATGTCTGGAGGACTACTCATCATCTGAGGAGTCCCTGTCAAAATTATAGGCCATGAAGAAGACGTCAGGTCGAGGAGGGACGAGGGCATGGCCCGGTTTCACAATCTCAAAGCCCAGGAAACTGAAGGTACGCACCAGTTTAGCACGATCATCTCCGTTCTTGTAAAAGCAGACAAAAACACTAGCAACTTGCAGATGTTCTTCAGCAAACTCCAGGAGAGCTGCAAAGCTCTCTTTGCTGCCTTCTGGAAAAGGGTCAAGAAGAGGCATCTCCACATAGAGTGCACTGCTGTTGAGGACAGCATCCCACTGTATCGTCTTGGTAGCTGTGGGACGACTTTGGAAGTGGATTATTCTTGGACGTCCATTTCCTGCAGGCTCTTCCGTTACTGTCAATTTTCGGTCTGAGTAGAGCGGCCGAGCTGAAGGAGCGTGATCCCGTGTGCCATTCCCTCGCCCACCTGGGATCTTCAGGGGTGGGAGAGGGGCATCAGGAGCACCACAGAGGCCCTGGGCCGCGGGTACTACTACAGTGCAGGGACAAGTTCTCAATCATGTCACAGATACCGCTACTTAAATTCGCCATGGTAGTACAGGGCTTAGGTTTTCCTTCTTTCTCACGAGCAAAGCAATGACTGTTTAGGATCCGCTGGAGGTTGGATTTTACCATCCGGCCTCGGGTAGAGACACGACTGGCTGACTTCTCTCTCTGACAATTTACTGCACATTTGTTGACATTGTTGCTGCACAATTTTAAGATGGCTGTTGGGCAAGTATGTTTTAGGATCTCTATAAGAAATTAATTTAAAAAGTGGACGTAACTTTAGATTAAGCAGCTACAAAACAATTTCAAAAACAGCTTTAAAAATGGCATATTACTGGACTTTGTTATGGCGAATAGTATGGCAGCATAGAAAAGAGGTCAAGCATCGCTAGACATAAGCTACTGAGAATCTGACATGCGGGATGCACTGCAAAAGCAGCTGCTGCTGCAGTTGGAAAAATTTAAAAAGAATTGTGGGCGGGGAAAAGATTCTATGGGCGGGGTCAGAATGTGACTCTTTGTGACATCATCAGCATCGCTTCTGTGTAAGATCAGTAGCTACTCTGAGTTTGTACAGGTAACAACAACTTCAGACATTCATTAGAAAAAATTAGAAACGATTCAGGCGTTTTTTTGCTGCAGAAAGTTTGTGATTATAAGACACATTTATTTAAAGAAGCAGCCAAAAGGGAGTTTTACAAGGCGATACCTTTGTTTAAAAGCTATGCCATCTGAACCATATTTTAGCAGACTAATTTCAAAGTCAGCTGTGATAATTTGAATTTAGTTCATATTAACGTTCAGATTCAGTTTTTAAGGACACGTTTAAAATGGAATATTTCTTAGACCATTTGCTTCAAATTGAAGCTGCAATTTTGAAGATGCATAAGAGGTGTAATAACTTCAAAACACAGTTTGAAAGCAAATTATCTAAATATCAAAATGAGAGCTCATCTGACAGTAATGACTGTGTCAATTTAGGGAGGGCGATTGATAAACTAAGCTCAGCTTTAACTGAATTTGAAGTTCAACTGCGAAATTTTAAACAGAACAGAACGCAGGAACAGAATCTGTTAAATTCAGATAATATTCCTTTAAATGCTAAGTTTGAGCCTACTGAATACAGGAGATGTGCGTTTATAGAATGTAAAGATCAGCAATGTAATGTCCCTAAGCTTCAACAACAAAATGTGTCTGGGAAAATTCAGGCTTTAGATTTAGCACCACAGCAGTCTTATGATCAGACAACCAAGAAAGATGGGATAAAACATTGCATTAGCACTAAGACTCAGCGTGAGAGCACAGAGAAACCAGGTACGTCTATGAAAATTAAAGCTCCTGAATGTGAACAGGAACAGATCTCAACTTTGGAGGGGAAATTTGTCAAAGAAAGACCGGAATCTAAAAGTGCACCAGCAGCACAAATTGCTTCTGTCCAACAGAGAGTTTGTAAACTTAAACTAGAGGCACCTAAAGGCAACAATGAAAAGGACTGTCACACAAACCCATGTATTAAATCACAAGATAAGCTTAAGAATGTTGAAGTATTGCTTAAGCACAAAAATATTACATTTGGAGAGGCAACTCTGCCTAATAATTCAAGATCATCTACCACTAAAAGCTGTGCTGTGAATAAAACCACAAAAAGTGCACCTAAAGCTTTATATACACAACAGTTGACAGTTCAGGTAAATAACCAATCAGCTAAATCGGCAGTTTCAGCTACAAATGACAAAGAGGATGATGTGAATTTTAAAACTGTACTTTCAGCAGAAGAAGCAGACGAGATATTTTCTAAGTTGATTTCTTTTCTACATAAAATTCCTGATGTTCAGGCAGAGTTACTGCATGAAAAGAGTGAAACAGAGTATTACAAAAACCTATATGATCAATTACAAGCTGATTTCTTTGAAATACGTACAAAGCTGGAGAACCTCAAGCAGAAACAAGATCCAAGGACAACTTTAGCTGAAAATGTAATATCATCTATAAATGAAACCACCAAAGGTGCACATAAAGCTTTAGATACACATAAGTTGACAGTTCAAGTGAAAAACCAATCAGATACAAATGACAAAAAGGATGATGTGAATGCAAAAAATGTACTTTCACTAGAAGAGGCAAACAACATATTTTCTAAGTTGATTTCTTTTGTACATAAAATTGCTGATGTTGAGGAAAAGTTACAGAATGAAATGCGCGAAAAAGAATATTACAAAAACCTGTATGATAAATTAATTAAGGAACATCAGCAAAATGTTGCAACAGAAATGGAGATCCCAGAAGAGGAGACTTTTCCCAGTGTGGATGAAAACCATGAGCCACAAGCTTTGACAATCGTGGATACACCATCTGATAATTTGATAGTACTTGAACAGTCAACCGGTAGACCATATTTGCACAATCCGTCACCAGAGTCTGATGAAGATACATTTTTTGATTGTTTAGGAGATACACTTGAGCAAAATCCTGGCACATCTGATAATTTGATAGTACTTGAACAGTCAACAGGTAGACCATTACTGGACATTCCATCACCAGAGTCTGATGAAGATACATTTTTTGATTGTTTAGGAGATACACTTGAGCAAAATCCTGGCACATCTTTTGAACCTTGTTCTTTAAATACTGCACCGGAATCTCAATGTGACAATGAAGTACTAAATATAGATTATCAAATTGAGACTGAGGAAGATGATGATGTGCCTTCTTTTTCAGTTGAAGTCTTGATAAAGATCATTGTGGCAGTTGGCTTCAGTTTTCTAACCAGATATATATTTATGCATATTGGCCAAGATTTCGATATGACCGAGGCCTTCTACCAGCTGCTACAACAGTACTGCTACCCTACATACGCATCACCTCGTCCCTTCTAACTCAGCATACAATTGAATTCTTTCTTTTTTTCGCATTTTTTTTTCTGTTTTACCCTCCATCCCTCTCTCCCTTTATCTCCTCCTTAATTCTGTTCTGCTCTCCCTTTCTCTCTCCTTAATCCTCATCCCCTCTGCCTTTCTCCATTAATGTTATCCCCCCTTAATCTTTTCTTAACCTTTTTGTATAAAATTGTCATGTGGGTTTTCTCCAGGTGATCTGGTTTTTCCCTAAAAAACTGAATTAAAATGACTAAGGGTGCATTTAATTTCTGCTAAGACTAATTTTAACAGAGCTGCCTATATGATTTAAGTTTAGAGTGTTTGGTTAAAAAAGCACCAAAGTATAAACTGGAGAAGGGTGGATGTTCTTCTTGAGAATCTTACTGTATTACTTCATAACAGGCCTCACACATCTTTAATGTTTAATATGTTGCCCTCTTGTGTTGATCCCCTTTTCCAATCTGCGATTCAGAAGAGTCCTAAGAATCTGTAGCCGCAGCCCTCTTCACCGGCTATGGCCTATGCTTCCACACACCAGGTCTTGGCTCAGGCAATGAGTAATTATTCCCACCACAAAGAACAGAAACCACCCCCTATTTTGCTGTCTCTTACCCTGTGCTATAAAGATAATATAACAGGTAAAAAATGCTGGCTGCTCGGCACACACTGCTATTGAATTTTTTCAATTCAGTTTATTTATATAGCGCCAATTCACAACACAAGTCATGTCAAGGCACTTTACAGTTCAACCAGATCATGCAGTCAAATTGATTCAAAGTTTTCTATCTAAGGAAAACCAGTTGATTGCATTGACTCATTGACTCAAATACAATCCTTCACATGAAGCATGCTTGTGGCGACAGTGGAGAGGAAAAACTCCCTTTTAACAGAAAGAAACCTCAAGCAGAACCAGGCTCAGTGTGAGCTGCCATCTGCCGAGGCCGACTGGGGTTCAAGGAGACAGAAGCAGAAATACAAAAAGGAGATATAAAAGGCGGCCCTGTCCAAGAAACACACAGCCAGGCAGACAAGCACCGAGCCGGCTCCCATGTCAGAGGATGAAGAGAGCACATCCAGCCAGTCACGGTCAGAGAAACAGGACTACACTGGAAAATAGGCTGATCTCCAGCATCTATAAACAAGGGTGTTGATGGAAGCAGCACAGCTGATATTTCTCTCCAGGATGGAGTCACAGCCAAACCGGAACAGAAGAGGCAAAGCTACTATTAGAAAAAGCAGAGAGAGCATAACGTTAGAGATTGAACTACCGTATTTTCGTGACTATAAGGCGCATATAAACGTCTTTTTTTTTTCCTCAAAATGTGCGGCGCGCCCTATAGTGCGGTGCTCGCTATGTGTGTTGTTACTGCGGACGTTGTTGAGACCACCATGAGAACGTTAAAGGGGGAAGTGTGGGCGTGGATTGTGTATAAAAGAACAGGTATGTGCTTTATGCAGAACATTGTTGTCTTGGACACTAGGCCTGTTTTCGAGAAATATGCTTGAAAATAACATGCCCAAAATGAATTGAATATATCTCAAGAACCACAGAGTTTATTTTAATTGTTTTGGTATCAAAATAAAGGCAAGACCCCAGAGAATATGTTACATGTTGCCTTGAGATGACATGTGTTGTGAATTTGGCGCTATATAAATAAACTGAATTGAAAAAATTGAATTAAATGTATAGCATGTGTTTTTAATTGATCTTGTAGGGGCGAGTGCTGAGGACCAAATTTGGGTCCTCATGTTATGAAGAAGTTAACAACCCTGAAAATGGCAAAGAGACACGCCTATGAAGCACAGTTTAAACTGAAGGCTATCAGCTACACAGAGGAACATGGAAATCGAGCAGCCGCGAGAGAATTCAAGATTAATGAATCAATGGTTCGCAAGTGGAGGAAGATGGAAAACGAACTCCGACAGGTGAAGAAGACGCAGCTGAGCTGTAGGTGAATGTAAGGAGACCAGATGGTTTTTTCCACGCATCACCATCGCTGTTAATCTGTGACTCCATGCGTGCCCATCTCACAGCTGATGTGAAAAACAAGGTGAAACAAATGAACGCTGTGCTCCCCGTTATTCCGGGATCTGTTACTCCACATCGGTGTGAACCGGCCGTTCAAAGTAAGGCTGCGAGCGGCGTGGGAGTGATCGATGATCGAGGGAGACCACAGTTTCAGGAAAAGTGGAAGGCAGCGCCGGGCAAGTTATGCCACAGTTTGCGGATGGATTCTAGATGCTTGGGCTAACGCGTCTGCTGGCCCTGTTGTTCCAGCTTTC